GCTTGCAGTCTTCTTGTCTCCAGCCTCTCAGTTAGCTGGGCTTACAGATGTGTGCCACCACACCTCACTGGAGACCTTTTGATTGTCACTAGACATGTCACACACATCTAATGAGTAGAGGCCAGGGATCTTCCCCAATAGCAAGTAGTTATTTAGTTCACAATTTCATAGTACTAACTTTGAAAAACCTTCTAAAGGAATTTGAAGGACTATCTCAGGAAAAAGAAAAGATTCAAAAGTAAAAAACTAGTCTAAAATGCAACAGGGTATTAATGAAATTTTGCCTCCACGTGACAGTTAATTTGGATTTTCAGCTGACTCTAGAGCAGCCAGCAGGTACAGATTAGTAAAGCATACCTCTGAATGTATTAGGGTGGGTCATGAAGGTACAACCTTAGGTACTGTATCTGGTCTCTGACTCTTCCTGGTGCTCTTCCCTTGCTTTGCTTCTTAGCCACTATGAACTGAGCAGCTTTGTTCCATCATGCCCTTCTGCCGCTCCTGCCTTGGAGACTGCCAACCATGGACTGAACCCTCTGAAACTATCAGCTAAATTAAACTTCTCCTCCTCTAATTCGTGGGTATTTGGTATTGTGTCCCAGCAGTGAAAAGCTAACTAATACATTCTGTGAAATTTTAGTGTCTATTTTGTGTTGTCAATAAAAACTACTTGAAATATTGGATACCAGTATTAGGTAGGTCAGGAAAAAAAGTCAGAAGTAGTGTTCATAATTCTTTATGCTGCTTAGGAGGATGTTAAGCTATTAGTCTTATTTACCATGTTTTAAGGAAAATATGTAAAATTAAGGGTAATTAGTAAAGGATACAAATAGTGTGGAAACTAGAGAAAAAATGGAATAAGGGAAAACAAAAATTCCATAGAAAGATCAAAACAACAGCAGAGACAAAGGCAGAGTAAAAATGAACTAGAGAGGGCCGGGGATTTAGTTCAGCGGTTGCAGCACCTACCGTGCAAGTGCGAGGTCCCAAGTTCGATCCCTGGTACCAAAAAAAAAGAACTAGAGAGAAAAGGTGGTAGAACCCAGTCCAGGTTTTAAGATTTGAAAAAAAAAACCAAAAAACAAAAACTGCTGTACCAGTTAATCTTTTTTTTTTTTTTTTTTTTGTTACGGGGATCGAACTTGGGACCTTGCACTTTCAAGGCAGGCAGTGTACCAGTTAATGTTTTGGGGTTTTTTTTTCATTAAGTTTATTGGTACATTTTAGGTATACAGTACAGTTACATTCATCATTGGGATCTTGTACCTTTACGTGAGTATCTTGGTTCTTATTTTTTTCCCATTCCCCTGCCCTCCCTTCACTCCCTCCATCCTTCCCTATTTACAAAGACTTTGTTTCCATTTTTTTCTTTTCTCATATTTTTTCTTTTCCCTTCTTTGCTTTCCTCTACCCCTCCCATTTCCCCTACTCCTTTAGACCTTTTCTTCTGTTTCACATTATCAAGTATACATTTTGATCCTTATTTACACTTTTAGTTTTTCACACCAGAAAAACTATTCAGTATTTACACGTGTGTCCTATTTATTTCCCTGTAAGAGTATGTACCAGTTAATCTTAATTCTTAGTTTGACTGGATTAAGAGATTACTAGAGAGGTGATTAGATCATGGGGATTAATCTACTGATGTTCATAGCTGAATATGCTATTAGGAATGGGGCCCACTGAAGATGGGTCATGGGGAACATGCCTATGGAGTGTGCCTCTCCCTCTCTCTGTGTTTTTTTTGTGTTTGTTTTGAGACAGGGTCTCAGTATGTAGTTCAGGTTAGCCTTGAACTCATGGCAGTCCTCCTGCCTCACCCTCCCTAGTGCTGGAATTACAAGTATGTGCCACCATGCCTGGTAAGAATGTGCATCTTTTTGCTAGTGCTCCTCCTGTGTGTTCTGCTTTCAGGCCTCCAAGATGTGAGCACTTTGTTCCACCATGCACTTCTACCATGATATTTCTGCCTTTGGAGCCATTTGACCAAAGATTGAATCCCCTGAAACCATGAGCCAGATGAAACCTCTCCTTTAAGTTGTTGAGTATTTTGTCCCAGCAGTGGGAAAGTTGACCAATGCAGAAAATTGGTACCAGACAAGTGAGGTCATTATTGTGACTATACCTGAACATGTGGTTCTGTTTGTGGTATGACTACTGCTGGCTGCTTTTTTTTTTTTTGGTACCGGGGATCAAACTCAGAACCTTGCACTTGCAAGGCAGCCGTGGTGCCACTGAGCTAAATCCCTGGCCCCTGCCGGCTGCTTTTTTGCTAGATGTATAATGAGAATTGGGAGCAAAAAGTAGAGCAGAAAACCCTGCTAGATTTCAGTCTTGCTTTGGGTCCTATTTTTTTTTCTATCCCCAATTCCTCCTTTTGAAATAGTAATATTGGGCCAGGGATTTAGCTCAGTGGTTCCAGCACCTGCCTTGCAAGTGCAAGGTCCTGAGTTTGATCCCTGGTACCAAAAATAAAAAAATAAAACCTGGGCCAGGGATTTAGCTCAGTGGTTCCGAGGCCTGCCTCACAAGTGCAAGGACCAGAGTTCTGTTTACCCTGTGCCATTGTATTTTTTTAAATGTGCCATTGTATCTTTGGATTAAGTAACTTGCTTTTTAAATTTTACAGCGGGTCACACTAAAAGAATTTTCCTTGAGTCTCAGAGGAGACTTTGATTTGGACTTTTGAGGAAGGCTGGAACTGTCAAGACTTTGGAAAAGCAAGGGCTGGGGATATAGCTCAGTGGTGCTGCGCCTGCCTGGCAAGCTCAAGGTCCTGAGGTTGATCCCCGGTACAGGAGG